GACAGAGCTCTAATGGGCAGCATAACCAGGCTATGTGACAATGCCATTGCGCTGGAATCATTCAAAGGCTCTGAGAGAGAGACCAACCCACTCTACAAAGATTACCATGGTAAGAACACACTCACTTATCTTTCTGTCTCTTTTCCATCAAACACACACACACACACACACACACACACAGGCAGTGCATTAAGGCTGGGGCTGGGCTGTGGATGGAGGCAGGGCAGCCCCCTTGCAGGCCAGGCTGTCAGTGCGCGTTAGTGTGCTGCTGCTCAATCAGACGTGCTCCTCAGTAGACAGGCCGGGGGGGATTCAGCTGCCACGCTGTACCCCCTCTCCCTCGCACCCTCACCCCCTCCATCCCTGCCTCCCCCCTCCAGCAGAGCCTCTCTCCCTCTCTCCCTCTCACCTCGCCCCCTCTCCATCCCCTAGTCCCATACCCCTGAGGCTCTGGAGCAGCGCAGACCAACACTGGGGAATCGATATTCTCACCATCACTCTTCCTCTCTGTCTCTATCTCCCTGTCCCTCGCTCAATGTCTCCGTGGCCAGCATGCTCTGCTAATAAATGGAGGGCAAGGCTTTCAGTAGGAGAGGACGATGGTGGTAAGGGATGGTTGTGGAGAAGGGAGCGAAGAAAAAGGAGGGGAGGGCACTGTTGTTTGTCTCCAGCCTTCCAGTCCTCGCCATCACTTTTCCTGCATGATTTTGCCATTCCCTCTTTCTCCTGCTTGCCTCCCTCTTTTCTATCACTCTATCACACACTCCATGCATAAAGGTCAGTTTAAGCGAGTGGGGTATTTTTAGCCGTGCCTCTCGAACTCTCCCACTCTTGCACTATTCCTCTCATTTCCTCACTCCCTCCCCTCCATGGGTTAGACAGCCCTGGTTGTGACAGATGAAGGGATGAGGAGTAAAAACATTCAGTGGCAGATTTTGGTTTCTCCAACAGTATGTTTTATTTAGGTAACACATCCCATACTGATCACATTCCTGTGCATTGTAAAGGCAGGTGGCTTGTTACCTATTCAACATACAGTATGAGTGTTTTAGCGCATAATTTTATAAAATCGTATAAATGCCAAAATGTTTTATTGGAATATGACATTAATATTATTTGAATGTCTTGTTCAAAAATATATCTGCCCTCTGTTTAACCAGCCAGAGAAATTCTGGTTGGGTTATGAAATACATTTATGTGTATGACTGTTTTGATGTGTGTTCATGAGTGCAAACGCATCTGGTATGAGTGTGAGAGTGCGTGCGTACGCGCGTGCGTGCGTGTTTGCGGCAGCAGTTCAGGGCTGCTCAAAGCATGCTGGGAAGCCTGTCACTGCAAATCAGGCAAGGGGAAATCACCCAAGTGCACAGAGGAGAGAATCCACCATCCCCCACTTTCTCTGTCTGTCTCCCTTTCTCCATTACTCCCTCGATCTCTTCTTTTTCCTCTCACGCTCATTTATACCACTTCACTTCGACAGTATTTTTCCAGATTTATAAAATGTAAGTTTGTTGTGAATGGAAATGAGAAAAAAAAAATTCCTCCAGAGTTTCCCTTTGGCTGTTTTAGAGTTCCCATCTTGTGTGTTCGATTCCTGTCCCCAGCTCTAATGTGTCTTAGTAAACATTGGAAACTTTCCTGAACAGCAAAGATTTTTATTTTATCTGATGTTTTTTGCAAACATAGAAGAGAGAACTATTCCCTTAAAATACAAAATACAATGTTGGTTGAGCTCTTAGTAGTACTTAGTAGTAATTCATAGTGAATCTTGCGTGTGTAATTCAGGGAGAAAAAAATTATTGCACATTATCACTTAAATTTGAAAGCACACCTCTGTCCAGTGCAATAATTTTCTCATTGGTACAGAACACATGGATAAAACAGGAATATCTTCCATGGACTTTGCGTATTATATTCTTTTTTTGCACTTTTAACCACTTGATTCTGCTCTGTTGTTCACAGGCCTGTTACATGTTCGTCAGGTACCTCACCTGAACTGTCTGGCGAGTCAACTCCCTGACCACAAGGACCTCGCCTTTAAGCTCAAGAGAAAACAGTTCAGCATTGAGGTATGTTGTCTGGGTACACTCAGGGTTTCTTCATAAACAAAACATAGCATTCAGTGGTTCTGCCCTCTTGTTGTATTTTTAATGCTGTCTCTCAGACTTTTATTTTTCCTTGTTTAGTTGCCACACTTATACTCCTCTTATGTATTTTTTGGAACTTGCTGTAAAACCATTAACCTAAAATGTCATTTGGAAGTCATGTAATTCGTAACATTTATAGCCATCACATTAGTTCCATCCATCATGTTCATAGCTGTGCTGATGACATTGAGAAGTCTCCGAGCTCTGTCAGCCTCTGTTTACTTTTATCTGTTATTGGGTGGCAAAATCAGATGGAGCTATTGATTATACTTTGCTGCTGCCACACTTTCTCCAGTGCAACATCAAGAGGCGACAGCGTGAGATGAAATTCTATCAATAGGCATGAATATGCAATGAAAAAATTACAGGTGGCAGTTTAAGTTAAAGGTGCAGTTTTCATTTTTGAAACACAATAATACTATGAATTTATCCATGGACATGTCCCTACCCATTTGTGACAGACAAAAACAGAGCGACTGCAACAAACAGGTTTGCATTTAGAGAAACATTTGACACCAAGCAGCTCTGGAGTGAGCACACACTATACAGTTGCTTTGTATTGAATTCCCACCTGACAACACCTGTGACCAGTTTAAAAAAGGGAGCAGTAGGCACCAGCTTTACCTTAAACTGTCGTCTAAAACTATGGTGAATGGGGGTGTGATATCCAGAGGGCCTAGAGGTATCTTCAGCTATACAGTGGAATGAGGTCTGAAGGTTTAATTAGGCATCAGAAATTCACAAATGTTTTCTTCATAAGTGTTTTTTTTCTTCTTCCATTTGGCTTAATAGCTTAAAGTGCTTTGATTAGCTTGACCCTTTGGAGCCAGTGTAGAATGCATGCCTTTCCATTTCTTCATTCATTTTGATTTATGTTTTTTTTTTTTTTTTAAGCTTTTTCTCTTCCTGTCAGACGCATCCATTTTGCATGTGTCACATCATCACTGTCACGCCGAGCAATCAATCTGTCACTGAACTACCACTCTGGGGACAAATTAAGGGGCCCTCCTCTTAGCTCAGGCTCATGATTGGTCCTCATTACATTATCATTACCTTATCACACCCTCTGGTCCCTGGCTCTTAGTGAGTCCTATTGTCTCAGGCAGGAGGTGAAGGGGAGGAATGCCCACCCCCCCTGCCTCTACATCCTACGGGCAGCCCCTTCTCATTTTCTGCCAGCCTTCACCATCCCTCTAACCTTTTCTCCTGTCTGCATCTGCCCGCTCCCCCTCCTTTCTCTGACCCCCCAAATAGGCCACTCCAGTATAGATTTATAAGGTCCATAAAAGTCAAGGTGGTTATCCTCAATGGTCTTTTAATTAGGCCTCTGTATTGGGCAGGCCAGGGGGCCGAGGCCTAGCGCATCCTTGTAGCTCAATGGGACCTGGATACCGTGTCATATATCCCAACAGCACATTGTTAAGACCCAAGCTTTGTCTGTCTTCCTTGTTTCAGGAGCTTTATTGGAGTTTTTTGTTGAACCATACATTCGCATTGCCCTCAGAACATTAAAATAAAATCAGATTGATTCAAAAATTCCACAAAAAAGGCAGCAAATGTTGACACGAGAGATTAATAATATGAGATGTCAGTCACAATGCTTGGTCATGACACATTGTTATCTGACAGGGAAATTCCCAGAGAACGCAGTGTCATATCACCAGTCATGCATCAAATCAATCAAAACATGTATTAATCATTGTAGTACACTGATATGTTCGCGTGTTAGGATCTTTAGTACTGAGATTGGCTGTCATTAATTTGTAAATCACCTGATATGGAGATGTCACAAAAGTATGAGTGCGTGTTGGCTCTTCATCCCTTGTTGCATAAGCATTGGTTTCACTGCGTGTGAGATCACACTCAGGTAAACGGTTGCACTCTCTGTCTCCGTGACTCATCGTATACAGTGTTTGACCTGTTGGTCAACTGCCTCGGTGGGCCGATGATTGACACACGAGATGATGATTGGGTTCTAAACCCAGTGTCTGATGTGTGACAGCCCACACCATCCCTGCTAATCACCTCATTTACTCAGGCTACAGGACCTCTCTGCCCGGGGCCACATAATACAGCATTCTCTTACCAAGTTTGTTCTGCTCTGCTCGGTCTGTCATCTTCCACGAAACTATCACGGTAGCGATGAAGCACCTCTTTCAACTTTTGACTCCTTTTCCAAGCTTGAAAAGCAGCAAATTCAGCTGCTCCTTGAATATCATCTATCTGGATTAATTTATGATTGCGGCGTTGGCGAATGACAAGTGATTGACAGCGCTAGCTCCTCACTAGCTGGGTCAGGCAGCTACATGTCACCCAAACTTTGCATGAAGTCACGCTGATAGTCAATTTCTTAACTGCTGTTTCGCTCACACCTCTACCACGTAGCAAGTCGGGAACGCGGAAATGTGTTTTTTTGCCATCGTACAGAGTGAAGCTTTCATCAATAAAGACGGGCACTTGTATCTCTTGTATTAAGTAGAATTAAACAAAAAACATTAATTTAATAGATTCTTCGTATATTAATTCCCAATGCCAAATTACATACCATCATCAAGGTTTGGCTGGTTCCGTGATAAGGTAACCATGGTAACAGTTGACGTTTCTGAAAGTTCAAGCTGCGGTTGATGAGCAGTTATTAGCCATGACGCCTGAGGCCAGAATTAACCCATGGCCCTGTCTGAGCAGGTAGGGGGAGTGTTAGGTGTTTAGACAAGATTAACACATACTCATAGACACATACTCAAACATTGCTTGCTCCCACACATAGAGAAATTGGCATTCGCGAAATGGCACCAGCGCATACTTATTGAGAAACGCACACAAGTACTTTCACAAACACGCTAACGAGTGCAAATTTTCCCACAGACTAATATTAAGCCGACACAGGCTTCTGTCGGTAGTTTCACAATGCGAGATGCTTTGAGGATGAAGTTCTGAAGAATGCAGATGGTACGCAATTACATTCTCCTTACCTTTGTCTGACCCTTTAAACTGACAGGCAATGCGCCTCTGGGGGTACTGGGGGGCTAGAGTCAGGTCATGGGGTCAAATACAGTATAATACAGGGATTTGTGTCAAATTAGTCGTAGCTTTGAGAGGCTATTTGGAGGTGTCTGTTGCACTAACAAGCTATGTCACCATGGCAGTGTAGTCTGTACAAATGCAATGGCTTTAAGGTAAACTCCCCAGCCTTTGAGAACTTTCAGTTAATGGTATGTATTAATGGTTTTTTGTTTTGGTTGTTTTTAAGTCCTTAGTGGAGAGAGTCCGTGTTATAAAGATGGCATCATCCAATTGAGTAAATTCTGAAGCTGAGTGGAGGGAAACTAAAGTGGGAACAGAAAAAGTGGATGAAGATTGTAATAGTACTGAGCTGAAGAAGACTTGAGGAGAAGAGGACGGCAAACTTAAAGAGTCCGAGGGAGGTGTGTGGAGTAGGTTAATGTCTCTTGGCATGTCCTCAAAACGTCTTTAAGACAACGCCCGTGTCTGCCCCCTGTTGAAGCCTTTGGGTGCCAAGGGAAGGGTGTTAATGGACTTATGTGAGGAACAGAGCGAAGGCTTGGAGAGAAGGGGGGGGGGGGGCAGAAGTGGAGAGGAGCAGTTAAGTGATTCTCGGGTCAGGTCTAATTAAAATGAGGGCTTTTCCTCAGAGGCACCAAACCATCTTATTGAGAGAGAAATAAAAAGGGAGGGAAAGAAAGAATTGTAGAAATGTAAAACGGGTTAGACAGAGACCCAGTCCTCAGGGCTTGTTTGTGTATTTGTTTATATGTTTGTTTGTGTTCCATGCCTGCTCCTATATCTGCTTCCCCATGTCTCAAATAATAGTACTAAAGATCAGAGAAAAGCCAATATTGAAGAGAATTCATATGGAGAGGGAACTAAACTGGGTCATCCAATATGTACTTCCTGTTGTAGATTGGAGTGAGTATATTTGCACATTGACAACAAAATAAATACAAACATTAGGCTTACTGGATGTCCTCAACCTATTAGTAGCATGCAACCTTCGGCTCCCTACACATCTGCATGTGATTCCTACATCTGCTTTGGGAATCACCATCAGATGGGAATGGACCTTTGGAATAATATTCCACTTCAATAATTTATACTTCCTCCCTTGGTACACACCAGCCTCTGTCGCTTTTTGGAATGAGGTGTGCTTATGGTTTGTGCATATATAAGAACGAGAGAGAGAGAGAGAGAGAGCTTGGTGCAGGCCTGTCAGTGGCACGCAATCGTACCCCTCAGCCGAACAATATTCACAACATACGTCAGATTTGCATTTATTATTTAACAGGGATTCTATCTATTCTGCAAATGTGCATGTGTGTTTGAAAAGGCCCAGCTTGTAAGGTCTCTGCTGAGTCTTCAGTTTGTGTGTGTGTGCAAGTGTCCTTGTGCATGTAGGGGGGTTTCAAGTTTTTGTGGGGTTGTTTGTGGTGTCTAGGTGATGTGACTCAGGTCTGCTGCATAAGTGCACGGACTAATTATTGCTAATTCTATTCATTCAGAAAACCAAAACCACTCAACAGATTTCATTCTGCTGACATAAAATCTCATAAAGACTTTCATAAAGTGCAATTGTGGCCCCCCCACCGTTGTCTGATGTGAAGTCAAGGTAATCCAGGCACAGAGGATATGCTTGTTAAGACGAGGTCAAGGTTCAGAAATAGTTAAGAACACTGGCCAAAACAACCTCAAATGAGCCTTTCTTTATTGTCAAACGCCCAGGGAGGAAAAGCAGTAGTGGTCATGTTTGCTGTGGTAGAGTCAAAGCTCAGTAAGAGAATATCTGGGACTTTGCCAAATGTGCTGACCTCTGTACTACATCATCACAACGCTGAAACATTTCTTGCAAACGGACAGTGTTAAAGCAAAACAAAACAGGGCATATGTGCCCCTCCTGCCAGACTGAG